TTAATACAGACTTAGTTGAGAATCCATGAGATGTGTACATCTTCAAATACTACCTTTTTTTAAAAGTAATGCTCAAAGTCCTGTCTATAACCAGAGTCTCCCGTTCGGAGAACGTGTCAAATGTGTATAGATCTATACGGGAAGTCATGATCCCGCGTCCTGACTGTTAGCTACAGTCCATCCTTTGGGGTGACAGTTGTCATAACGCTACGACGCCTGAAGAACGTCGCTACAGGCATATTATGTTTAGTATGGTTATAAAACTCACTGGATATACAATTGTTATGGTATTATGCTTTTATGAACGAGTAGCTATTAAAACTATTCTTCATCTAACAAATGCGATCTTCGTATAGCTTTATTATATAAAACTATGACACAACTTTTAAGAACGTCGGTTGCTTGCGATTTTCAGTCTTAGAGACTGCCAGTTATGTTAGGAAAATAAGGGTTTTTCCTGTATACAAACCAAACAACTAATAGGAAAATAAGGGATTTTCCTGGTGCAATTATTTACAACTTATAACACGAACATTCATATGCATTTCATACTTTTATAAGAAAATAAGGGTTTTTCTGGAAAACACAACAATTCATATCTCAACCATTAGGGAAAATATGGGATTTTCTGGATCTAATACATTCATTTCAACACAACAATCATAACTCTTTACATTTGAAATACTGCGTTTTCTGAAAACATACACGAACTTTCGAATGGCGTACATTTTCTCAAAACACTACTCATGAACTCACTAACTTAATTGTTGACACTTTCTCTTTGAAATAAGTTGTATTATCAGGGAACCGCTAAGCAGATTTGGAAATCAACTTTTGGGGATTAACGTGCTGACGTTAATTACTTCTTTTGAAAGATGTTTATGTATTTAACTTTGAACATGTAACGAATACAATTATGTAAACATTTTGGAAACTTTAATATATATGGTGGTGTGTACTTTCCTTTCTATGAACTGTTATGATACTGAATATGACATCCTCCGCCCCCGAACGTTTCCGTCGTTCTGGTTTGGGGGTGTGGCAGATCTATCCTTCAAACTCAAGATACCACAATCTAAGCTTCCCACACAACCCCAAAATGATCAATCTAGAAGAACACATCCAAGAACGAGATATTACCTCAAGATGAAGCCCCAACAACAATGGAATCTGAATCCAAGCAATGCCCCTTGCTCCAAGCCTCCTAACTCCCCAAGATCTTCCTTTAAATCTCTTTTCCAAGGTTC